AACACAAATTAGCCTTACAAAGTTTTCCCTGTACTTTTTTTTTGCTGAAACAGGAATCTTAGGTGCTATTTGTATTTATAGTCATTTCAAAATTTTCAGAAATAAACTGATGTTCAACTGAGTTCCTGGAAACAATCACAGTAATACTACTGAGACACCATCTTAAGATCTTCATGAGGTTTTCTGTTTGTAACAAAGTTGAACAACTTGACACTTTTGACTACTCATTGCTTTACATTACTTCTGCCAAAGGAATTACTGAATATTTATAAATAAAGCTAAAAACACCTTGTTATTTAAGAAATTAAAGATAGGAACATTAAAAGTACTTGCAATGTAAAAAAATGACTTTTCCAAGGATTTCTAAAGCCACCATCTACTGTAATAATTTATTACAGAAAAAGAGTGTTGGTAATTGTAACACCTTGTGATTACTAAATCCAATTATTCTGTTTCTTACTTCGAGTCTTGTTATTTGTCCTCGGCATGAACCTCTGTAATAAGGACACAGCAACAAGACTGCAGTGACAATGCAAGACCCCTTAAGGCTGAACTGTGCTATTGATAAAGCATCATAGACAGGTACAACTCTGAAAAACAAATACTCCACTCCTACTCAGGGGAGAGCTATTTAGTGAAATGAATCTTCTTGGCTTAGCTAAAACCTGGGAAATGAGCCAGTTTCTCCTGAGGATAACAGACTTTTCCATCTAGACTGGCTCAATTTTCTCAAAACATAATTCTAGCACTCTCTCCCCAATGATTAAATCAGCTAGCGGGTTTCACTTGCTCTGAAAAGCTGGACAGATACAGTTGAGAGGTCACAATTAAGTCATGAAATGGTAGGATTTTAAATACACTTCAGTGTCACTCGTTTTGATAACCAAGGTATTGACTCATCTTTTGTGAACCCAGTATTTATCATCATATAGACAAAGAAACATGGACAACAGATGTGAGTGGAAAGGAGATCTGGAAGGCTAGATTTCTTAAGCGCATTGACTGTCAATTCGGGGCTAACTGAAGCCAGTCAGAAATCTGAGGCAATGAACACAGCCTGGACCTAAAGGCAAGCAACAAGAGGCTACCAATCCTTGCACCCAGAATAAAAAAATAAGCATGGAACAAAAAATATTATTTTTAAAATGTCAGAGCTGTAGTAATTTGAATGTAACATGGCAAAATGATATATATTGCTGTGATTAAAACACAGAAAAAACATTACTAGAAGATTTATAAGTTAAGCAACCCAAAACCACTGCCTAATTCACCAAGAGAATATCTCCAAATATACAGCCTGTCTTTTCTTTGAACATTTCATCCTACTGCCACTTGCTCATACCCTCATGAACTGCAAAATGCAGAACCTCACCTTGCTCGCTATTCATCCCTGTGCATACAAAGATCTGCAGTTCTATTTCCTCCCGATCTATCCCTATTTTCTCCCCAAATATGTTAAAGTATTCCATTCCATTGTCATTTACTCTTTTTTAATACTTAGCGGTCATTCTCTTTGGAACCTCTTTCAATTTACCAGTATCTTTTAGAAACATGGTCAGAAACGAAGCAGTGTTTCAGGTGTGGGAACACCAGTTCTTTAAATCAGTGGGACTATTGCCCCTCTGTTCTGTGACATCACGCTATTTCCTGTGCACCCTTAAACTGCAGTGGGTTTTTTCCCCCCACTGGCTCATTATATTACCAATCTGTATCTAATTAGTTTCTTTAGCATTATCCCCCAAGTCTCCATCAGCATTATTGCTTTGCAGGGTTCATCTCCAACTGAACATGGAAGTTTTAAAGGTTTTTTCCTCTGGGGGGATTAATTTGCATGTTCCTATCTTGAATCTCATATGGTTATTTCCATGATTAACTATGCTGAGATATCAACACAAATGTAAATGTTTACATTTGTAGTGCTCTATACTAAAATTTAGTTCTTTCCAGCATGCTGCTGCACCTGGATGTCAATTCTCTGCATGTGTCACCAACAAGAAGAAAAACTTGAATCCCTAGGTATTTTCCAAGTTTTCTTTGTTACCCCGTTCAGTGTCGATACAAGTAACATATGGCGACATTAGGTCCCACTCACAGGGTCAGAAGACAACTTCCATGACAAAGAAAACCCAACATCAAGATGCAATAATGTCATGAATATTTTAATAACAGAGAATGCTATGTTGTTTAATATATTCATGTCTCTGGAGCATTAATGACACTTCTTGTTTGTGGGGCTATATCAATGTTAGATTTAATATGGTCCCTTTATAGAGATAGCATAAAACCATGTACTGACCTGGGGAATGCTGGGAAGTTGCGAGTGAGGTCATAGAATTAGAAAGGTTAAGGTTAGCAGTAATACTAAGCTGGCTCTGCACTGCTGGAGGATAAGGAGATGTAGGCGTCAGTAGGGATTCCTCACTGGTTTCCTCATCAATTCCAGGCAAATATGTGTCAATCAAAGCATCAAGAAACTTCACAATAAGCTCAGCATAGTCTGGGATTTGTGTTTGCTGTGGAAATAAAAATTAAATCTTTCCTTTTTCTCTTCCACCAATATCAACAGAAGTTTTACCTCAAACCTTACTTTGATGTTTGCTCACTTGCTTTGTCTAAGTCTTTAAGCATTTTACGTGGGCATCTGCAAAGTCCAATCTTGGCTCATGTTCAGATTAATTTTAATATGCACTCAAGGCAATCTGTAATTATAATATGAACACCCCATTGAATAGCAGCAGCATCAAGTAATGAGTGGTAGCAACAATGCTGAAATTTCTTTTAGAAGGAGCACTGCTCCTTCTAAAAGGAGCACTGCTCCTTCTAGCTCTGATGATTTATAAACATTATCTGTGCCTCTTTAAATCTAATATCCAACCCACTGTCCATCTCTGCCCATTTGGTCCTTGTTACATTGACCTGACCGAACAAATTGCGGCACAGATGGTCAATACTTGTATTGCGTTCCATGTATAATGTGAAATTTATCATTGTGAATTTACTTCTGTATTGATTTCCACATCTGTGTAAGCCACAAAATACATATACAGGCAGTCCCCGGGTTACGTACAAGATAGGGACTGTAGGTTTGTTCTTAAGTTGAATCTGTATGTAAGTCGGAACTGGCGTCCAGATTCAGCCGCTGCTGAAACTGACCAGCGGCTGACTACAGGAAGCCCG